GAGGCGGCTCGTTGGAGGGAGAGAATAGATGTATTAAGTTTTCTTTTTTGAGCTGGATGGTAACTGAAGCTTCGGATAATAACGATATTTGCGCTAGAGGGCATACATTTGGCACAAGGTATATGTGTAAAAAATTCAGATGAAGCTGAACGATGGAGGCGCCTATTTCTTTGATGCAAAGCTTGAAGAGAGAAAAAGAGACGAAATGGTAGACTAGGCAGTGAAAAACGACCGTATATGTAAGTAAATCGGTATATTGTGATGCACTGAACTGCTCTTTGATAGGTCCTTAAAGGCAGGAGGATGTAAAGGCCGCAGTCACCAGTAAAAAATATCAGCCAGAGTTGAATGATGCAGACGCAGTACTAGCGTTTCACGCCGAAGCTAGATACTTTTCCGGCTGGCAGCAATCCTACCAGCAATCATGCCTGAATCGACTATTAAGCCTAATCAATTTAAGGCGTATAAGACCGTTGTGACATCAAGTCTTTAGTTTTATTTAGCGGAACGAATAGACGGAAACACCTTTTGGCAAATCCGAGATCTAACTTCCGTTAATTTACGGTTTGTGTTCAAGCATTATAGGTGGAGCAGGATAAGAAGGAAGTTAAATATATTTTTCATCAGTAAAAAACGAACACACTTATCCTGTAACCGGACACCCCCTTTAGTAAAAGTGATTAATCCGTTAGAAGACAACACGGACACAACATCCGAGGGCTAGGATACCGGTACCTGCCCGTTAATTGACGGCTGCAGCAAATGAGCAACGGAGGCGAATGTCTGGACAGCCCCCGCTCTTAGGCTCATCTCCTACCCACTTGACCCATTTATGCCGTTAGAGCATAGTAGGTTCGGAAAGAGAGCGACAGGCTGGCGTCGACGGCGTCCTAATCCCCCTAATTATAACGCGATTTATGCGCGAATCCCTGTCTGCTAGGCTCACCCCCCGCTCCCTTCACTGACTCTCAGAGACGCGCACAAAGGACTTATCGTCGATGGCTGTCTCAGCTGAAAGCACATAGCATTAACGAGTGTTGCTGGCGAAAAGCAGAGCAAACTGAGACCACTGGTGGCATAAATAAACATTGGATGGCCGAGAAATCCGTAATTGGAGCAGGGAATCGCAGTCAAAATGCTTGAGCGACACAGATAGGCTTGGCTTTTCGCAGTTGCCTGGTTTCGCTTGCATAATAAAAATCAGCTTAGTTAGAAATTATCATCGAGTAAACCGTGGAGTTGAATTTTTAAGGGTCAGTTATCATGTAGACATCTTCGATGACTCGCGAAGAAATGTACATTTCCCTTTAAACTCGTAGAAACTGAGTTTTTTTACAGCTGCCAGTTCAAGCACTGAAAATAACGATGTCCACTCTTTTCTCCACAAAAGGGAGGGTGGCGTTTGAGTGGAAAGTAGTTTATATTGATAGTAGTCGTGCAAAGCATCTAACACACTTCCTCTCCTCTCTTACCCACCTGAGCGTGGCAGCAAGACAGAAATAAGAGGTGATATGGATCCCAGCTGAATAGGAGTGTCAAAAATGCCACATTTCGAAGGAGTAACTGCAGCCAGACTCTCCCTTGCCCTCAGTTGGTGGCCTTCCGAGTCACGGCTTCTAGCCAACCACGATAGTTTAAAGGGCGTCAGATTGCTTATAGGAGGAACATACACTGAGGACATTGTGAGGACATTTTCCCTAGAGTTGACCATATAAACCCTTCTCTCTCTCAGGCACCACTTTACCATCCAAGCCAATCGGCCATCTAATGTGGGAATTGGACGCGGGTGAGGACAGAACTCTACAACCCGTTTGCACGTGCCACTCATCAAGCTGCCACGCAAATGCAGTGGGCAGCTCGGATTTTACACGTGTTAGAGTGTTATTTAGATCATCTTATCAGGGAGAGTATTAGCCTGGCACACAGTTCCCTAGTCGACTAATCCACAAACCACACACACAGACCGACTGCAAATTATGCGTTATCCCTTACTTGGCAGCCCACGCAATTTAGTGCATCGTGGCAGATTCTAGCGCGTCAGGTTTATTATTAGTGAGGAATGCAGTAAGTTGGCGTGGAGATGGATCCCCAGAGTCAATCCCAATCTCTCTTTCCTTCCTTTAGCCACCAGATCTCTGTCCGCGTAGGTCGGTCATCTGACGTGGGGATTGGGTACAGTGACTGACAGAGCTGAGCAGCCGATACACGCGCGCCGTACACGGTCTAACCAGACGATACACGCGTGCCACAAGCGACCCGAGCCTTTGAATAGTAGCTTCTTTGCAGCGAACAAGCACAATGCGCGGGTGCTTGCCTGAACCTCATGAAAAACCATTTTCTGCTTCCCAAGAATGGGCTAATTTACCATGGAAGATCTTTGTTAGAAAAGTCTATAATGACGCAATCCATTGGCGCATAAACCATGCCTAATATCACCGAAATCCCTGGGAAACACAACGAAATTGCTCCCGCGGACGTTGGAAGAAATCCATAAACTTAATTTTTACTTTTAAAAAGTTTCGCAATTTCTTACTGCATTTTCCAAACGCATCTCTGAACTGACATAAAAGGATAAATTTAAGCTGTCAGAACTCACCACTTTACTGTATGCAGACGCATGAATAGTGTGGTTTGGCTGAGTGGGGTATATGAATTTGGGGTCATTGTCGTTGATGTCCAGAACCTCCACAACGACTTTGGCGGTGCTGGTAAGGCGTTTCGCCTGCGTGGAGTCCTCTGCAGTGACAAAGAACTCGTAGACCGCATTAACTTCCCTGTCCAATCGCATCCGTGTCGTTATCTCACCGGTGTGTTGATTGACTGCAAAGTTGTGCTGTACGATAGCCTTTGGGTTGGAAAAAAGTAGTGGTTACAGTTACGTCCGGTTGTGTTGGAATGTAAAGGTTATTAATTTCACTCATGCTGGTTGGAATAATATCTGAGAAATCTGACTTTATCAATCAGGGTTTATACGTGTAAATTGTTAAAAAGTTAGCTGATTATATCTCATGAGTGGCCTCGGGGACTTCTCCCTGGTCCTCGGGATGAATACGGATGGTTTGGGCCTCAGGTAGTTTAAAGTCTTATGTAAGCAGTGCAGTCCGGTGGCATTTAGATCTTGAAGATTTCATGCTCAGTGTCCTGTCGTCCGGGGTCAAGTATAAAATTATACTTCTGGGGAACCTTCTAACGCAACCGAGTACACAGGATGCGGAAACGCTGCTGTGCATCAAGTACACCCATGTACGAAGGCACGTGCTCACCCTTCTCGATAGACTGTAGCCATGCGTCAAAGCTGCCCTGCCCACAGTCTGGTCTTGCTGCCGCGCTGAGGTTATTTAGTTACCCACCAGCAGTTCCAGACGCGCTGGCCTTACTCTCGTCTGACCGACAACAACACAGGCACACGCACGCA